GTGTTTTATCATAGTTCATTCAGTGACCACTCGCTCGACTTGGCGCTGTTTACTGGAGAACTGACACACTTAAACAACGTCTGTGTATGAGCCGCCATCTTTGTTTTCATTTTCGTTTAAAAATTAAACTTTTTAAACATCATTTTTTAATAATTTTACTCAAAATTATGTATTTTTCGGAGAACAGCGAGATTCCTTGTACCCTAATCTATCATCCCTCAAAATTTTAAACAACAATTTTTTCTCATTTTAGAGTGGAATGTATACTACCAAAACACATTTTCCCATACTAGGTCACGTAGGAGGTTCCCACATACCCTTAATTAACGAAAAAACATTGATTCAGTAATCAAAGTTCAGATTAACCAAAAAATTTTCGAAAAACGAAGAATTGTCAGAATCCGTTCGATTTTGATTATTATCAATAAGTAAAAAAAAATTTACTTGAACTACAAAAGCATTGAGTCATTTAGGTTTGGCTTTATCAATTAAAGTTCAGATTAACCTAAGATTTTTGTAAAAATGAAGAATTTTCAACATCCGTTAAGTTTGGATTGTTTTTAATAATTTTAAAAATAAAGTTTACTTGAACTTCGAAAAAATCAAATAATTTAGGTTAGGCTTTATCAAATAAACTTCCTATTAAGCTAAAATTTTTGGAAAAATTGAAGGATTGTCAGAATCCATTCGGTTTCATAAACATATAGAAATGGACCGCTCACCACTGTGGAAAGACGGGAAGGAAAAAAGTAAGAGAGATAAAGAAACGACTTATCCCACACTCTCTCTTTCTAAAGCAGGGACATTTGAAGGAATCAGTGGACCCATGGTTGAATTTTGTAAATGTAGAAAAAGAAATATGGAATTTTTTCGGTGAAAAGTAATTTTATAAAAAGAAATTTAAACAGGTACAAATATTAAAATTTTAAATTATTAAATTTTTTAAACTATTTTCATTTTTAATTTTTTCTTACAGAATTTAAATAAGTACAAATATTAAAGTTTTAAATTTTTGAAATATTTTAATTTTTTATAAAAAATTTGAATAAGAATAAATTTTCAGTGCACTATAATTATTTATTATAAACTTTATACAATGTATAAACATATATATAAGGGAGAGTCGGTAGTGGCGAGACACGTTTTGTTTTTTTGTTATAGCACTCACATTTTCAAGATCATCAAGTCTGTATATATATCCATGGACAGGTGTGACTCTATACTGCAAATTCAAGTCATACAGTTACAGAACAGATATTGGAAAAAAAAGTTATTGCCGATTTACGATAATGTCTCGCGACTACCGACATAAAAAATCGTCCTTAGTGGCGAGACACTATCTTAAAATCAGAGTCTTCATCGTTCAAACGTCACAAAAACAAAGGAATCAAAGAGAAAGAGTATAATAATTGATGCCTTTAAATCATAATATTGTCCCATTCAATCATAAAAATACAGGCAAATATTTTTCTCATTGTGAGCCGCTAATCCATGTCACAGTTATTAAAAACATATAAGCTTTTCTTCCTGTTCATCTTTTTCAATTTAAACTATAGTTATGAAAAATATTGTCGACAAAACGTACAAAAATTATATCAAATTCATTAGGACATGTACAATATTATTAGATTAAAAAAGCCACTGCCGACAACAAGTGTCTCGCCAATGCGGAAACAGCATTTTTCGGTAATGACGATGTACAATCCTATGCATCGAACAATAATTCATAGTGCTCTGGAAATTTTGAAGGAAGCTTAAATACTAAAGACTCAAAACATTTAACCCTTCAGAAAATTTTTATATATTATCACTTATACCGATGGGAAATAAAACTTTTAAAATATCTTGAAACTGTTATTAACAGTATAGCGATATTTCGTACATCAAAAACGTATGTATCATATTGAAAAGTTAAAGCACAATAAAACTTGACTTTCAGACCAGAAGTGCCAGCACAGTCAGTTCAGCTGTCTGAAATATCCTAATGTCTCGCCACTGCGGACAACGCCTTATACACAAATTATAAATTTTGAAAATTTACATAGAACAAAATTTTTTCTTTCTTTACAATAATCCAGCTATTGATCGTTAAAGAAAATTAATTTCCTAAATTTTTGTCTAATTCTAGTAGTACTAGTGTTTTCTTCGGAAGCTTTATATTTAAGCCGAAGTGTCACATACTTAAACATAATAAGCTTGATCAACTGTAATCGGTGATCAGACAAAATTGTTTGATAGAACATGTGTTCATCATTAACGAAAACGTTAGTCGGAATGTTACGGAATACAATACAAATCAAATATTGCAGAACATTTTTCGTTTTGAAGATTTGCATACATGAAAATGTTGTTCTGACCAAAATAATTATGTTCCTCTAAGAAGTCGTCAGTTGTCAAGTCTTCGATATTGGTGTCAAAGTCTATCATTGAATTTAAATCAATATTAAATTTAACAACTTTACGTTGCTTGATTTGGAGAAAAACAGTTTCATCTTGAGGTGTACAGTTTGCAAATTCAGAACTTGTGATTTCTGTGTGGATGAGCAACCTTCTGAAAGCAGATTTGAATTGTATGCATATCGGATTATGATGGCGGTGTCCACCTCTACTTCGTATTGCGGAGAAAAACAATTCTAGGTGATCCTGTGACAGTTTGTAAGTCAACAAATATTTAAAGAGAAACTTTCGTTACTGATATACTCGTCGTATATTCCTAAAATAGATTTTAAACAAACGATGTTCAGAATTATTTTAATTAATTAATTATACCTTACTTATTCCTTAATTAATTATCTTTTCTTTCTAAAAATGATGGTATACTTTAGCGCCTTAACTTTGAGCTCTCGAATTACACACGTGAAATTTAATCTGATTAATCCTGACTTGCGCGATTGAATTTCTTTTTTTTTTGGTCCCTTTTTCTTCCGACTTGAGAATAAGTATCTTGTGTACGCGAGTGAGAATTTACTTCCAAAGTTTAATCCAGAATCATCGACGTTTATTCTTTGTTAAAAGGTCTTTAATGATCAAAGTGCAATTGTATTCTCAATCAAGAACATAGTTTTAGGAAAATAAATAAATTAATATTGTTAAACCAAAAGTGGACTCATATTTATTTTGACCATGTGCTCGACAACTAATTAATACTAAAATAACCCTTGTTGCAAAATTTAAATTAAAATTAAATAGCCAACAAAAATAACAACATAAATTTTGGTCCTTCGAGCCGGATATTTTTCGATTTATCACACAACTTACGACTTTACAAAACGACGCCAAACACACAACATGGTGATAAGAAGGCCGAATACCTCGTGCTTCTCAAGTGTACTGTACAGCGTGTTATAATATTTGAAATGCTGGGGAAGTATAACAAACTCATTTAAAAATTATTTCTGCTGATTTAAAGTAAGTACTTATTCTTAATTACCTCGCCAGTGAGCTTCAACAAATAGGTAAATCTACTAAGTTCGCTTTGCTAAACTAAATTAACGCTTAATAAAATTTATTTGATTTTAAAACTTATTTTGCTTCTCGCTTAACGCTTTAAAATTATAATTTTATTAATTGTCCTCAAGTAGTGCCTTGTAAGTGTAACATCTTGCATGTGGGGAATAGTAGAGTACTCATGTGTAAACTTCAAGGTTTATCTACCCCCCCTTTTTTTAAATTAAATAATGACCAATTTTGAATTACACAAAATTAACGAAAATGGATATTTACAATTGCTAAAATTTGCTAAGCTTTAATATTACTAAATTACAAAAAAGAGAAGTCGCGTGAATCAGTCAGAGTGCTTACTACTTGTATTTTTTAAGCTCTTCACTGGTGATCAACAATCAAAATGGCGGAGATGAAAACTCAGGAGACTCTTGCCCTATTTATCACTCAACTCCATACGAAGATTATGAGTTCAAAACGTGCCAAGGAGAGTCCGTTAAACTATCTTGAGGGACGCTTATCAAACCTGGAAGAGTACTGGAAGGATTTTTACCGCAATCATTGGAAACTGATGTCAAATCCCGTTTATACCGAAACAGACTATTTTAAAAGTTCCCGGTTTGATGCGGTGGAGGAAGAATACATTGCAACCAAGGCTGTCATCAAACGTGAAATAAGTACGCTCTCTACTCCTAAAACAGAATCTGCACAAGACACTTCTGTACAAGGTAACAATGGTAAAGAAACAAATTTTAAACATTTACCTAACTTATCCCTTCCTAAATTTTCCGGCAATCAATTAGAGTGGGAAACCTTTCGTGACTTGTTCACAGCCATGGTTGATAAAGCAGCGCTTTCCGATGTTCAAAAGCTTTATTACCTTAAATCATCCCTCACTGGTAAAGCTGCAGAACGCATAAAAAATCTAACGGTCAACGAAACCAATTATCTCCAAGCGTGGACAATGCTTGTCAAGCGCTACGATAATCAACGCATTCTCTTATCAGCACACATGCAAAAATTGCTTTCTTGTCCGCCCGCGTCTAAAAGGTCTGTTGACGATATATTAAGACTTTTAGACACACCCAATGAGTCGATTCGAGCCTTTTCAAATATGAATAGACCAGTTGATTTGTGGGACGATTGGTTTGTACACATCCTCACAAATAAACTTGACCCAGTTACTCGCGAAGAATGGGAATCTTCTCTAAAGGATTCTGAGGATTTTCCAATGTATGAGGAACTTTCTTCTTTCCTCGAAAGTACTGTAAGAGCTTTAGAAGCTTTTCACCCCATCGAGAATTCTCCTAAACCTCTAAATAACACAAAATCCAAACCACAATCTAATCAATCCGATAAAAAATATAAGAAGTCACAAATTTCAGTCAATCACTCTCAGACTGAAACGAAAATTAAATCAAACTCTTGACCTCTCTGTCAGGCTTCTCATTTTTTATCGTACTGCCCTCAATTTAAAAGATTGAAAATAGTTCAACGTAGTGAACAAGTCCAACGCTTAGGACTATGCCACAATTGTCTTCGAAGTAATCATAAAATTGATGACTGCTCGTCAACCAAGAGATGTTTTGTGTGTTCTGGAAAGCATCATACCTTTCTTCATGATGGTGGTGAACACGCCGACCCTTCAACTTCAAACCAAGCCTCTTCACACTCTTCTGAACAGGCAAGTTGCAACGCATCGTACCTTTCCAATCATATCTCTTACCCACTCGACAGTCAATCAAGGGGCATTTTCGCAACTGCCTATATTAAACTTACCTCCCCTAAAGAAAAATCGATCGTTGTGAAAGCATCCCTCGACTCCGGTTCCGAAGGAACCCTCGTAACTGAACGAGTTGTTCAGTTTCTGAAATTACCTAAGCAGAAATGTGATGTCTCTCTGAAAGGCATTGGGAATTCCCCCCTCGGAAATTCAAGTTACAAGGTTGATCTTTGGTTAAATTCACCGAAAGATCCTAACTTCCAATTACCAATCAATGCTCTAGTTTTGAAATCTCTTATTCAACTCCTGCCCAAGAGCAGACCTGAGCATAGTAACTGGTCACACCTTGCTGATTTGGATCTTGCCGATCCTAATTACTATAATGAGGAATCTGTTGATTGCGTAATAGGTATTGATCTTCTTGGTCACACTTTGCTCCCTGGATTAAAACAACGTCCCTTGAACAGTCCTACAGGCCTTCTAACAACATTTGGTTGGATCACCTTTGGTCGATCAATCCCTCAACCCTCTGACTCACAAAATTGCTTCTCCACGCTCCAAGTGGAAGAAAGGGACTCGTTGAATCAACTTCTTCGTGCCTTTTGGGAAGTTGAGGAATTACCCAAACAAATTTTTCTGACCAAGGCGGAACAGGATTGCGAAAACATTTTCAAGGACACCCATTACCGAAATGAATCAGGTCAATACGGTGTTCGCTTACCAGTCTCTATTTCACCTGATCAATTAGGGGAATCTAAAGAACAAGTTGTTTCCATGTTCCTTCGAACTGAAAAACAACAATCAAAAAATCCTATCGCTAAAGCTAAATACAATGACTTCATGTATCAATACATTGAAGACACCCACATGAGACCCGTTGATGAAAACGATTCTAAAGCTTCATTTGTTAATTACATTCCACATCATGTAATAACAAAAAACAACAATCCTGCTTCAAAAATCAGAGTTGTTTTTAACGGTTCTTTTCGCACCTCTTCAGGATTGTCCTTGAATGAGACCCTTCACCCCGGGCAGAAACTGCAAACTGATATCTGGTTGATCATTACCCGGTGGCGATTCTGGAAATATGTATTTACCTGTGATATAGTCAAGATGTTTAGACAGATAAAAATCGAATTCCCAGACTGCAACCTGCAACGAATTGTTTGGAGACCTGACCCCAGTCAACCTCTAGTAGACTATTGCTTGACAACTGTAACTTATGGGACCAGACCCGCTCCTTTTCTAGCTATCAGAGTCTTGAAGCAATTGGCGTTAGACGAAGGGGAGAGATTTCCACTCGGCGCTGACGTGCTGATCAAGAACACATATGTTGATGATGCTTTTGCTGGAGGTGATTCCCTAGATGAGGCAATTCAAGTTAGAGATGAGTTGATCTCTATTTTAGCTTCAGCAGGTATTTCGCTCAGCAAGTGGGCTGCTAACGTCGATAAATTAGTCCCTACTGATTCCACTGATAGTAAAAGCAAAGACAAAAGTTTCAACCTTGAGACTTCTGTTTCCACCTTGGGCCTGCACTGGAACCCCGCATCTGACGAGTTTCACTATAAATTTTCCCCTATTGACTCCTCTCAACCAACGAAACGAATTGTTGCTTCTGAAATTGCGAAGTTGTATGATCCTCGTGGGTGGCTAGCACCATTTCTTCTGAAAGCAAAGCTACTATTGCAAAATTGTTGGTTAGCTGGCTCAGATTGGGATAAACTCCTACTGATCAATCTCTCTACTGAATGGATTGAGTTTCAACAGCAGTTACCACAGTTGAACCTTATAAAAATTCCCCGCTGGATCAACACTGAAAATGATCAATCGAATTGGGAACTACATGGTTTTTCAGACGCCTCTGAAAGAGCCTACTCTGCAGCGATCTATCTTGTCCATCGAACCTTCGCTGGTGAATCACATTCGAACCTAATCATTGCCAAAACCAAACTGGCACCTGTCAAGGCCATATCTCTTCCAAAATTAGAGCTTTGTGCTTCAACACTTCTCGCAAAACTGACATTAGTAGTCATCGAAAAATTAAACTGTTCTCCAAATTCGATCCACTACTGGTCCGACTCTCAAATTGTCCTCTCATGGATTCAAGGTCATCCTTCAAGGTGAAGCCATTTGTAGCCAAAAGGGTTAGTGAAATTCACTCCTTGGCGAAAGAAACTCCCTGGAGACATGTCCCTTCCAAGGACAATCCTGCTTATTGTGCTACCAGAGGATTCACTGTTGACGAGCTTCTCAATTCCACCTTGTGCTGGCATGGACCAGTTTGGCTGCTGAAATCACCCGACAATTGGCCTGTCTCGAATCAGACCCTTAACCCCAACATCGACCTAGAGGCACGCTCAAAATATATTGAAAAGGTCGACGAAATTCAAATCAACATTATATTGAACAGAGGGATCCCCGAGCTCCTCTCCTTTGTCTCGTCACTCACACAGTTACTAAGAGTGACAGCCTATTGCCTCCGTTTTATCCAGGCTCTACGAAATCCGAACCTTGAAATTGAACCCTATTTAACTGATGATGAATTAAAACGAAGCTTTTCAACCTGGATAAAAGTCGTGCAAGACGAGAATTTCTCTGAAACAATAGAGTTATTGAGAAGCAAAAAATCTTTGCCCTCAAGCAACCCACTGATCAAGTTGTCGCCATTCTTAGACGATGATGAGGTTCTCCGAGTTGGAGGACGGCTCCAGAGCTCACTGCTCTCGTTCGATGAAACACACCCAGTTACCCTGACAAAAAACAGCAAACTTTCCGAATTGATCGTCACTCGAGCTCATCTCGATACTCTTCACGGTGGTCAGCAACTTACCCTGAGTAGGATTCTCAAAAAATTTTGGATTGTCAGCTCCAAAACCCTGATTAATAAAATCATCCGAACCTGTATCAAATGCTTCCGATTTCGAGCGAACTTTCAAACTCACAAGTAACACTACCCAACTGTTAATCACCGATTTTGATGAAACTTGGCACACTTCTAAAACATGGAAAAATATTGAACACGTATTTTTTTATATAGGCCCGTTTTGAGTTTTAAGGGTAGAAAACACCCTTTTTCAATTTAAGGGATGAAAAGCAGTATTTCATACAGAAATTACTAGATTTGCTTGAAACATATTACTCGGGGGTTTTCGACGTCGCTGATTACGAATCTGAAGTCAGATTTTAAAAATTCAATATGGCGGACAATAAAATTCAAATTCAATCGAATTTACTTGAAACTCATTACTCGTGGGTTTTTGGGGTCGCTGATTACGAATTTGAAGTCAGATTTAAAAAATTCAAAATAGCAGCTCCAAAATGACAGACAACTTTTTAAAAAATTCATTGCGTTCGCTTAAAACTTATAACTCGGGGGTTTTTGGTGTCGCTGATTACGAATCAGATGTTAGTTGTTTAAAATTCAAAATGATGGATACATTTGTCTATTCGTGTGTATTTGTTCTAGAGCAATCCATTTGGAACTGGTTTCTAACTACGAGGCGAGCGGATTCCTTGCGGCCTTCAAGCGATTTACATCCCGCCGAGGTTAATGCGAAAAGGTATTCAGTGACAACGCTAGAAACTTTATTGGTGCTGCGAGAGAATTGCGGCAAATGTTCCCTGGAGCTTCCAAAACATTCATCCCGGTCGCCGAACTGCTGGCAAACGAAGGAACCACCTGGTCTTTCATCCCTCCACACTCACCGCACTTTGGTGGGATCTGGGAAGCCGGCGTGAAGTGGGTTAAGCACCACCTTCGACGTGTCGTTGAGGAGACACACATGACCTTTGAGGAACTAAGCACCGTACTATGCCAAATAGAGGCATGTCTGAATTCCAGACCTCTCTACCCGAATTCTACTGATGCAAATTCTCTCTCTGCAATCACGCCTGGACACATCCTGACTGGTGGATCCCTTGTTGCCATCCCTGAACCTCCCTTATTTAACGAAAATCCGAGCAATCGGTGGTCGCTGATTACAAAGATGAGAGACGACTTTTGGAATCGTTGGTCTCACGAGTACCTTCACCATCTTCAACAGCGCTGCAAATGGCTGATAGAGACCAATGCAGTCAAGGTCGGGGACATCGTGCTGCTTAAGGAGGACAACCTGCCCCGTGCGAGATGGCTACTCGCTAAGGTTCAGCAACTGCATCCAGGGCCGGATGGCCTCGCAAGAGTTGCTACTATAAAAACTAGCACTTCAACCTTGAAACGATCATTTTCTCGACTCGCTGTTCTACCAATTTGCGAAGTCAATAACGAAAATTAAATTTAATCTGCCTTAAAACAAATGGGAATTTTGTCACACCGTACATGTTTATTTCGAATTGGTTTTATTTTCATCTTGCGTTCTCTTCTAAAATCAAACGCACCCGGGCAGAATGTTCAGAATTATTTTAATTAATTAATTAATTATACCTTACTTATTCCTTAATTAATTATCTTTTCTTTCTAAAAATGATGGTAAACTTTAGCGCCTTAACTTTGAGCTCCCGAATTACACATGTGAAATTTAATCTGATTAATCTTGACCTGCGCGATTGAATTTCTTTTTTTTTGGTCCCTTTTTCTTCCGACTTGAGAATAAGTATCTTGTGTACGCGAGTGAGAATTTACTTCCAAAGTTTAATCCAGAATCATCGACGTTTATTTTTTGTTAAAAGGTCTTTAATGATCAAAGTGCAATTGTATTCTCAATCAAGAATATAGTTTTAGGAAAATAAATAAATTAATATTTTAAACCAAAAGTGGACTCATATTTATTTTGACCATGTGCTCGACAACTAACTAATACTAAAATAACCCTTGTTGCAAAATTTTAATTAAAATTAAATAGCCAACAAAAATAACAACAAACAATCAATCCTAAAAATCCCGTTTTCTTTTGTGTTTCTATTACTGGCGTTCCGGATATTTTCAAATTTGACAAATATTTAATATAAGAAGGAATTTTTAATCTCAACTCGTCCATATTTTTAAAATCAACACAACGTTTAGATATCATTTTGCAGTAATAATTTCTGGAATTTAACAAATCAAAAATTTCGTTTAGTATAAAACATAACCTGGCTGTCGGATCGCAATTACTAAATTCCGGAATTCGTAGATCATTTTTCAAAAATCTTAGTGCGCTAGCAACACTTGCACTGAAAACTTGGACAGCTAGATTAACTTTCATTTTCTCAGTTTTAAAATTTATGTGCCTTCGTCGAACTTTCATTGCAGCATGAAGACCTTGGATTTCCTGTATATGCACTAATTGTATTATATACTTCCAGGATATTATATTACCTTTTTCTTCACTTTTATTGAAACTTTCAGCTGTTTTGTCAAAGTTGCTTTCATCTCCCATTTCAATGCAATTTTCTGCTGTGTTGTCCATGTAGTCTCCATTTTCAATTGCATCGATATTTTCTGCTACGCTGTCCATGTGGTTTCCATTTTCAATGTCACCGCTATTTTCTGCTGTGCTGTCCATGTTGCCATTTTCAATGTCATCGCTATTTTCTGCTGCGCTGTCAATTTTGTTTCCATCTTCAATGTCGTTTTCACCAAAATGATTTCTTGCTAGTTTCACCATATGACACGGATCGAAAATAACAAATACTTTCAAGTTGCTTACAGGATTCAAGAAATATGGTTGAATTTTATCTATTGGAACGTTTATTTTCGCGCCTAAACATTCTGCCATTGTGACATTAGAAGATGTTCCATCGAAAGTAAGGGAAATAACTATTTCTCCCGCTAATTCTACTTCGATTAAACATTTTTTTACCAATTCAGATCGCTCTTTCCCTGTTAATGAAAGTATAAAAAAAGACCCAACTGGAATTTTAATATGCTTATTAACACCAACAGCCATGACTACCATTGCAAGTTTGGCCACTCCTAATTTGTCACTTGTCTGAATGATTTTGTTCCCTTCACCGAAATCTTCATATCCAAGAAATCTATCTTGTTTCCAATCAATGTGAGACATAATACTCATATCGTCCACCATAAGCGAAAGAAGTAATTTTTCATTTTTCAGCTTATATTTATTTACCAAATGTCGAATAGCTAATATTGCTTCAGAGCAAATACCCGGATTACAGTCTACTGATTGGTACCACCTCCTTATCGTATGAGGATGTAGCAAATTATTCAGAAAGTGTTTTCGAACATAGCTATAAGCTTTGGGTGAATAAAAATGCAGCGTTGACGCAAAACACTTTAATGACGATGTTTTGTGTAAATAATTTTTATTAAACTTTCAGACATACAATACATGTATAAGTCTTACAGTATTAGATTATAAAAAATTTATTACTAATTACATTATTATAAAAAGGATGTTCTTTGAGTTGTTTATATTAATTAAAATGTGATTTTTGTAAAAACACATAAACATATGTTTATCCGCCATTTTGAATTATTGAAAAGTAACTTCAGATTCGTAACCGGCGACCCCAAAAACCCCCGAGTAACAAATTTCAGATAAATCCATTGAGCTTTTGAAAAAATTGTCCGCCATATTGGATTCGCCATTTTTAATTTTTGAAAACTTATACCGTATTCGTGTTTAGTGACCCAAAAAACATAAGTATATGGTGCAGAAATAAAAATAATTCATCAATATATTATTTTTTGCAAAATAGTATTTTTTAAATCTTTTTTAGTGGAAAATCGCCATTTTGTCGTCCGCCATCTTAAATTTTGAAATTCGCAACTATATAGTTTTGTAGCTGGGTATTCGAGGACGCGATATTTTGGGTTCCGGAGCAAATTAACTGTCGTTTTCCATGTCAAAATATTTTTTAAATAAAAATTTTTTTGCAGAAAATCATGTTTTTTTGCAATAAAATTGTTATAAATATTAAGGATTTAATTATAATTAAATTTGGACTTCAGAATCGAAAAGAGCGATATATTTTACGTTAGAAATGGGCTATCCTGAATTTAAAAATTTTTTTATCATCTCTCAAGATAATGAATGAGATGGTAACATTTCCTTTAAAGAACCAGTTGATAATTTAAAAAAACTTTTAAATAATTTGGTATATGAATGTTATATTTTTATATGTATACATACGCATATACTCATATATACATATGAGAGATTCTTTTTCAATCGCCCCAGCCCAAAAAGTCAATGTTCTGGGATTGGCTTCATACTTTGGTAAATTGTTGTCCTATATGATAGTAATAAATCCCTAAAATATAAACTCATTAAAAAAATATTTGTAGAAAGTAGAGGGGGTTGAAGTTTTGACGTTAAGGGTAACATTGTCATTTTCAAATCCGTATAACTATGACAAAAGTTAATGGATTTTAATTTATCTATAATGAATTTTATTGCATTTTTCACGTACTTTTCAAAAATGTATACGAAATTTAAAAAAAAAAATTTTAACCCCTTTTTTTTCAAAATCAACCCTTATTTTTCGATTTTCACCCCTTCGGGTATTTTTTTTTTTTTATTTTCATTGGAAAGCTGAGGTTTTTTCCGATGAGCTATGTAAATATGAAAATGGGACAACAATAATTTTGTGAGTAACAGAATATTAAAGTAGGCGGTGCCGATAAGGGGTGTACCTGGAGATCATCTTTGAGGATTTAGATAGGCACCGCCTACTTTAATATTCTGTTACTCACAAAATTATTGTTGTCCCATTTTCATATTTACATAGCTCATGGGAAAAAACCTCAGCTTTCCAATGAAAATAAAAAAAAAACAAAAAAAAATTCCCGAAGGGGTGAAAATCTAAAAATAAGGTTTGATTTTGGAAAAAAAGGGGTCAAAAATTTTTTTTTAAAATTTTCGTATACATTTTTGAAAAGTACGTAAAAAATGCAATAAAATTCATTACAGATAAATTAAAATCCATTAACTTTTGTCATAGTTATACGGATTTGAAAATGACAATGTTACCCTTAACGTCAAAACTTCAACCCTCTCTACTT